GACCTCCCAAATTTAAAGACCCAATTCAAAAATGGGCATCTGAAATGAACAGACATTTCTCAGACAAAGAAGAAGAAATAGCAAATAAATACATGAAAAAATGTTCAACATCACTGGTCATTTGAGAGATGCAAGTGAAAACAACGCTGAGGTTCCACTTCACCCCAGAAAGAATGGCTGCTTTCAAGAAATCAACCAATAACAAGGTCTTGACCACTTATTTTTCTTCCTCATTTGCTTTCTCATTTTTCTGATAGAAATATCAACATATAACCTGATATTACATAGTATATTTACTTATTTTTGTCTAACTTCATGAGGATGAACTTCATTGTTTCTAGAAAAAAAGCTAGGCAAACAACAGTATCTGTTGAACTAGGGTATTAATGAATGAAAGAATATAATATATAATATTATATTATATCTATATAATACCTAGCCCTTAACTTACATTGAATGGAATTTGTATTCACTAATAGGCTTCAAACTGGCTTGAAGTTAGAAAGTGAGGTATTCTATTTTCTCCATACTTTCTAGAATTTGCCATTGGAAACTGGTTAAACATAAATAAAACATCATATATATATATATATATTTAAATATTTGCTTCTGTATTCTTACTTGTGGGCATAATAATTATACCTACCTTGTAAGATTGCTGAAAATTTAAGTTGCTTTGAAAAGTGCTTTAAAAGATGCCTGTAATGCAGCATGTTCTCAGTAAGTATTATCTGTTAACTTTAACATTAATTTATATTTAGAGTTTCCACCTATCCGTTTCTAACTAGAAGTGAATTGCTCTCGCTCTCAGTGTCTGGCATAGGAAAAGTTCTTAAGGGTTGCTATGCTTTGGTGTGAGCTGTTCTGTCTTCACTTGCCAAGGGAGTGAGTGTTGGCCACAAAAGTGACTGTGGTGTCTCAGCATGCAAAGTAAATTTAATGATTACCAGGAAAACTATGTTTTTCCCATGACTTTTCACATTTTTAAAAAATATAAAAATATGTCTTAGTTTCAGTTATAAGTATAGGGAATGAGAAATAGTAAGACTAAAATTTATTTTATACTTTAAATTATTACACATTT